GGCGCCCTGCAGCTGCACACGCTGGCGCCGCAACGCACCCGGAGGCAACGCGCATCCCGCGACGGAGGGCCCGGCGCATTCGCACACGCACAGAGTAGCGCCGACGCACGCTCCTCCAATGGACGCCCCCATGCGACACACGCAGGGCCGACCCGGCCCCTCCGCAAAATGGCCCCGAAGGAACTTTGGGGTTCCGCGGCACTGTGAATATATATATATACAACCTGCAACCCCGCAACGTGGCCAACGCCGCTGTGTGACCCTGATGAAAATGGACGACAACAACAGTTTGCTCCCCTCTCGTCCAGGGCGAGGATGCCGTCCACACCGCAACTACGCATACGGCGGCAACGGTGCCGGAAGGAAAATCAAACAAAAACAAAAACGCCGCCGCTGGGCCGTTACGCCGCGCCCAAGACGCCGGTGCCCTGATGCCGGTCATCCACTCCGCATCCGAACACACATGATGGCTGCGTGACGGGGAACATGCTTGTTTTCTTTTTCATTGCTGGTAAACTCACTCAGCCTGCAAAAGCACACCCCTTTTTTGCCCAAACACTCCCTTTACACACAGTGCTAAACTAAGAAACAAAGAGGTTATTATGAAGTATTGTTGGCATACATCCACAAGCTGCAATCATTACTGTTGCAAGCCCCAAAAACAAAAAGAAGTTGCTACTGGGATATAACTGGTCATAATTATTCGCTAGCAGAGTGATTCCCTAATTGCTATCTTCCTATTCATACACAAATAACGAACGAAACAAAAAAGCCTTCCCCAAAAAAAAATATCCAGAAAAAGGCAAGCCACTAATTTTACTCATTGTCTCGCTGGCTGTCGCTGACTTTGGGCGGCTAAAACATTATTTCTTTGTCCCGCTGGTTGTTGCAGGCCCTGGGCCTTATTCTAGAGGCTAAAATATTCAGCTGATATCGTCACCTGGTACTGATATACCTTTTCCTTCCAGCACTCCATGGTCCTCTCGCCCTCTTCGTCTTGCTCTTCCTCTGCTTCTCCTTCTCTGCGTCGCATCTTCACTGTTGTCCAGCTTCGGAAAATTCTTGCATTCCTGCCACGTCGTTATTGCCTCACTCTCTCCATGCTGCACGTAAATAATCTCCCACGACAAGTCTGCGGCAAACGTTTCCCAGCCGTTAAAATACTTTGTCATACGCTCCATGAACTGCTTCACAGTGCTGGGTTTGGTGTGATGCGCACCCCTCACAGTCGTCTGCAGCCCAACCATCGTCTTCCGCGGTGTGTCCACGAAGAAAAAGCCGTCTATCAGCGGAACGTCTCTTGCCCTCGGCACGTACAACACCCCATACTCCACATCAATCCTCGAGGGATTGTATTCCAGTCGGGCCAATACAACTGACTTGCTTGGATGCTTTCAGGGTTTGATTGCAGCACACATGGCCGTCCCGCGCGCCTTGTTGGTGGCCTCAGCTCTTTAAGTTTATCTTTTATATTATCCACAAAGCCCCTGTCCGTGAATGCGTGCACACCATACATTTCCAGAGCTTCTGGCAAAGAGAAATCCCTCAACCCCAACAATCGCCGCAAAACACCATTCTGCTTACATACCGCTGTCAACTTTGAGATTATTCGATGCCCGAGGCGTGAGCACACCGGCAGGTTAACAAAAGTTTCGAAACTGCCATTTCCAGAGTTTCGGGCAGCTTTCACCAGCATTTGAAACTCGTCATCCACAGGCCACATTCCCACACCAAATGAAAAGGTAATTATGAGCATTTGAAGCCTTAATCATTCCCACGACGCCCGCAGTCACGCCCCGGTGATTGCCATATGAAATGTCTTCAAAAATGCTTCGTGGAATCGGTCCCACGTAATACATGCGTTTTTTTATCTTCTCCCAGTAATTCCTTTGATCCTCCGCAGACGCAGTACGCGTCTCCCAGGCACACATCGCCTTCACGTCATTCTCGTCCGGGCAATTCATAACAATGCGGGCAGCGGTCGCCTGCTTTTCCCATGCTTTGAAGTTTTCTTCGTTCGGTGACGACAACAGAATGAAGCCCCATGACTTGGGCGTTGGAAAAGTATCGGATGGCCCACAAGAATGTCTTGCCACGTCGTAGATGATATACCCTTTCAGCTTACGCTGCCAATCCAACCTTCTCACAACCCTTTTGACATTGAGCTCACCCTCGTATACCGTCACCGTTTTCTCCTCCTTGTCAAACACGAATGCCAGATCCCCTCCAAAGCAGTAGGCAACCACCTGGAGTTTTGCGATGTCGTAGTGGAGCAACCTGTAAAGGAGGTAGGAGCCAGCGTTCATAGATTTCCCGATGCCGGGTGTTCCAATCAAAAGGCGCCGCCTCACATCAAATTGCGTTAGATCCTCAGTGCCAAACTCTCCCTCTAGATCGCCCTGCACGATCCTCCAAACCCGCTGCACTTCGCGGTTGATGTAGCAGTCGACAATACCTCTTCCCTGCTTTAGCGAATAGGGCCACCCCTTCTCAGAGGTGAGTATCATCAGCCGGGGACGCGGTGCAATAAACTGCTCTGCATCTTCCACCGGCAGAAGAGTCCTGACCTGCACTGTGTAATCCCACAACTGTGCTGGTGGTTGGCCCGCTTTCACCTCCATTCGCACCCGTCTGTTGCTTCCTTCGCCCTCGTGAAACTCCAAGACGTGACTGCATTGCGCGTTTAGCACAGAGTCGTAGAGTCCAT